TCGAGTGTTGTTATTCGCAAAGTTGACTGTACTCTGCGGCAGTGGGGTTTTTTAGAGACTTGAGCTTGCTCGATACTTCAGTTTCCTCTTCAGTCACATCATCATCATCATCATCATCTGCGTTGCCGAAAAAAATAATAATAGTAAAATAAAATAATAAAATAATAAACGGCATTATGCAGCTGTGTAAGCAGTAGATGCACAGTGTGACTGCCAGGCATCTCTGTCAGATGTCAACTGGCAATTCTCATGCAGAGACATACCAGTCCACGAAACGATATTGTCAGCAAAGGAAATCTTCGAACGACCACGCTTTCTCTTACCATCCACGACACCAAACATCACGTCACGTACAAGCTCGCAGCCAGATGGGCGGCAGGTGTGCCCGAAATAGGTCAGTTTGCGTATCTTGACCCTGGCTAGCAGCTGTCTCTGTACTCCCAACTCCACCAGGATACTGTCATTTGTGCGCTTCTCCATCCAGGATACTCTGAGCAGACGTCGGTAGCACCACATTTCTGCTGCCTCAGGTATTCGTCGTTCATCTGTCTTCCGGAGAGTCCAACTCTCAGCTCCATACAGCAGGACAGACCACACAAGGGCATGCATTATCCGGATTTTCAGCTGTCTGGAGATGTTGTGGTCTTTCCAGATGTCAACTAGCTGTAGCATACGCTCTTTCGCCATGGCAATTCTTGACCGAATATTAAGGCTGCAATCACCGTTTGTTGTCTTCCAGGATCCCAGATACTTGAAACTGCTCACCTCTGCAATTCGTTCTCCATCGACCACAAGTGGCGTTGGAGCAGTATCGTTTGCACCAGCAGTACAGGTTCCGATATGCATGATCTTGGTTTTGGACAGATTCAGTGACAGGCCCTTCTCTCTTCCAGCGTCATTAACAGCATTGGTGAGGGTAGACACTTCTGATGGATGTGCACACAATCCCGTGTCATCTGCATATCGTAGGTTCGACAGCTGGCGTCCTCCGATTCTCACACCGATACTGTCCACATCAGCAACACGCATAACACTCTCAGTGTACAGGCTAAATAGATGTGGGGACAAAATACAGCCCTGTCGAACATCGTTCTTGATGGCGAACTCCGGCGAATGCGAGCCATTCCATCTGATAACTCCGTTCACCCATGTGTAAAGATTCTGGAGCAAACAAACTATGTGGCGAGGGAAACCAAAATCCAAAAGGAATCCAGTCACATCAGGTTGCTGAAATTTATAGGCTTCGCCATGGCCATACGAACCATTCTTAGTACAGTACCAATCTTTGCGATAACGTTACATGGAGTACCCATAACATGGACTTCTGCTTTTGTTCGAAAATCTGCCATATCTGTGAGAAGAGGAGTGTGTATTACATACTTAGAGTGCATGGTGGAGGAAGAAGTTCAAATAATGTATTTATCCCAGCCAAAATTCCTGCTGAATCATTGAAATTAAAAATCTGCTTTGTCAAAGATAACACGAAGGATCAATCCAGACCATCGTATTCTGGCCTCAAGGGTAAAGCTAATATCATTCTTTGCACTTCCTTTGTGTTGCTTTCCGGCAGAATCTGAAACCGCTCTTGCACCCCTGACAGGTGCAGTGTGGAGAGCACTGCCCTCTCTGGCGATCCTGAACGGGGCGCTGAGCACTGGAGAATCCGCCTCGTTTCCACAGCCATCGGGTTAGTTGCAACTGGAGTATGCATCAGGTTGTAGCATTCAATACACCAGAGGCCGTCATGCGAGATTTAATCATAAAGTAACTGTCTGAATTCACCCTTTTGATCGCCGGGGTGATAAACCAAAATCATGTTCTGTTGGATGTTTGCATGGCGAATGCTTCTGAGATTCCACCCACTTTGAATTGTCAACTCCTAAATCCGCATCATTATAAGGAAATCTCCGGCTTTGCAAATGTGAATTCCTGATCAACTGCTCACCTCCCAATGAATCACTCTGCATGCGTGAAACCCTACTCAGTAATCCCATAAGGCCCGTTTTCAAGGCGTCACCTAGCTGTTGTGGCTGGTTTCTCAATGACTGCAACCAGAGAGTGCAATTGATCTGCAGGAAGCTACTAGTGGATGTACTTGTATATGGTTGTTAAGATAGCTGTATGTTGACACATACGTCCGGTGGAAATATCAGACAAACCTGTCTCTACTCCATAGTATCATGAAACAGTGTACTCATCAGGAGACTATGCGGCTGGACCGGAACAGACAGCGGACTATGTCCTATGATAGGGGTGATGCCCATAGCAGATATCGTGGCAGTACAGTAGCTTGAACGGTTCATCCAGTTTCCTATGCTTGCTGATATAACCAATCAATCATACATGTATTCCTGTCTCAGTGTACACAGAAGTTGAAGCTGATGTTGCTGGACATCTGACAAGCCTCAACCCGATCAGCGAGTCCTTAGTTCCCACTCCGCACATTGACCAAGTGTTGAACGAGTTGGCAAAATCACTACACTCCTGTCATGTTGACGGCACAACAACAGACCTGGACTCCCAGACTGCGAGCTCATCGCATTTCAGACAATTGAATATTCAGGTAAGGTATACGGGATAGGCTAAGTTCAGTCATTCCTGGATCATGCTTGGCCTCGCTTTCGAAACACTAGGCACGGTGCCACTTCCAATCGACAACATTCGCCTGGTTTTCAAACTTCGCCTGTATGTCCAGAATACTACCAAGAGTACATGAAAACAAGAGTGTGCAGCTTGGGCTTTTTCTACTATGGGTGTCTGTGAACACTGGCCTGCGAAATGGTGCAAGGCGCAACCTTGAGTGATGTGGCTGGATTTCATTGAGCAGTACTGTATATTTTTGTATGTGAATTTCCAGAGTCAACCAATGGCGTCGGACGAGTCAGAGTCGGATACACCCACAAGCACGTCAGAAAACCATGCGCCGCAGCCCACCACCACTGCTGCCGTGAAAGGTATTCTAATGGGCTTCTGCTTGGCGTTGTGTGTAGCTAACGTTAGCTAGTTAGGTGCGAGTGGTGAATTAAAAACAGCGGTGTTCCTACAACACCTGTCATAGGCTTGAGGGGTTTGTCATCGCTTATCTGGTCTCGTCGATAATTGTTAACATTCCAATGTGGGGTCAGGGGAGGGCCTGGGGGGGGGGGGGGGGGGGATCTCTGGATATGACTCATACAGGTCATACCAGAAACGGCCTACAGTGGAAATTATAATTATAGTAAATCAGTGGCATAGCTGGTCCACCTTTCAGGGGGTGCACCTCTGGCTTCACCATGTTTACAGCAGCCACTGAACTGCAATCCTTAGGCCATTCGGCTCAAACTGCTGCATGAAGCTCCCATAGGGGCATGTCTTATCGAGGTCCACTGTATTTGAGGGTTGTTGCATCCATGGAACACAGGTGTAAGGCTATGCAGAGGTTGACAGGTTGTCTTGCAGGCGGCTGTCACTGCGGTTGGCAGTGTTCACTCAAGCTGGCTACGCAGCCAAACCGTGGTTCTCCTCAGGCAAGGCCAATTGGCCCTGGTTCGCAAGCTGTAGCATTGAGATTGCGAAAATTGAAAGAGTGAGAATGCATGCAACTCTGACCTTGGACGCAATAGTGTATGAAAGCCCTGGAGCAATCACGTCCATTTAAACTCATCGTGGTGTCCTTCGATAATTTGTGGGATACAACTCATTCTTGTATGTTTATGTAGCTGTCACTCATCGCAAGACTTCTAGCAAAAGCACGGGTGTAAAGTCAAATAGGCCTCAGACACAGACCTTACCTGTCCAACGTCGATCCAGTCGTCAAACAGGAGGCAAGAACCAAGTCGAACAGCACAAAATCGGCAAGAAACCCATTGTGACCCGACACGCAGCTCCCGAGCCGGCACACCCACCACACAGCATGCAGAGTACGCTTGTGCAGCCACCTTCATCAGACACATCATCTGCTTCAGCAACTGTACAGAGCAGTGAAGTGCCATCAGAACAGCAGTCTTATCCACAAACCAACTCCAGGAAGCTGAACACTGTGAGTATTGATGTTTTAGAAGTGTATCTCACATACTGGCACAAGCTTCCCATGGTCTGGGACATTTCATTGCTATTTAGACTGCAGGCATGTTGAACTATGGGACAGGGCGTGTGGAGACTTTCTGCAATACTTCGGATCATGAACCTTCCATTGGAACACTTAACCCAGCTAGTAGTTCGGCTTACTTAAAGCTCGTACCTGTACTGATGAGGCCTAGATGGCCGAAACAGCTAGCTGTCTACAGCATTGGGTATAAAGTTATATATAAAAATAATGACTATAAACCCAGCTCCATATTTTAATTTTTTGCTTGTCAATGGCATTGAGCATGAGACTCAAACACTAGTATTGCTCCTCTGTTGTTGTGTGTATGTATTAATATGATTACACACACACTTGAAGGAAGGAATCAAGCGTTTCTGCTGTAACTTAACTCTGAGTTTCACGGTTTTACCGAGCATTAGACGGCAACAGAGCAACCACAACTCTCTCCGAGTGTGCTAATATGATTAGAAAATAGTAGAGATCTGTGGGCAGGGTAGGTCAACACTACCTTTCCGGCAGTTTGCGAATGCTATCACGGGCCATGATCAGGCATCAGGCGCACTGCTCCGTTATGATGGGGAAGGATAGATCAGATACATAAACCAGAGACCAGAGACCAAAGGCCGAAATTCCATTTTTGCATCAATGTCACCATTGCACAATCCCAATCACAACAGGGTTGGAAAAAGAGCATCTGTTTCTCGACAGGACTAGATTGACCTTGGTCTTGTTTCCCCTGAATCATGGCCTTAGGTCTGCTCGCTACACCTGCCCGCCATATGCAATGTCCACCCAATTGTGGACAGTACTGATTAGGAAGTGTTCATTTCTACTAGATGCCGGGTAGGATCAACAGATCTAACTTGTCTGTGACTGCTTTCAGGAGACAGCTCTCCGCGAGGAAGTGGAACGGCGGGTGAAGGCGGAGCATGCCTTGCAGCTACTGACGTCCACTGTACAGCGACTTCAAGGAGAAGGTGAGAGCAGCTTCTGAGAAAATTTTGAAACGAGTGCACCACCTCTCCTTGTCTTCACTGTCCAATGTAATCTTCCTTGCCCTAGCAATGTGGGGAACTATTTCGAGCAAAACATTCAAACTCCCCACCACGTGCATGCCCTCTCCAGCGGATCTCCTTTACCATAATATGCGATGCCCTCCGGCTTCCATTGGGCTGTAAATGATCCTATGGACCCTATTCACACACATCTTTACCAAAATCCTGTTTGAAAGTGCAGATCTTTTCATCATGTGCACCGGCAATCTGGCTAATGCCCACGTTCCAGTCAGTTGTGCTAGTATGTGTGCACTTCGTTGCAGTACGTATGTCTATGCAGGAGTTGCGATATTACATAATAATATTATTATACTATGTATGAATGTGTTTTTGTGCATGCATGTGCATGTCGTACTGCAGTCAACACTCTAAAATCGGCCGGTGTTCGTTGGAAGCAACAGTGGGTACAGGCCAGTTCACAGCTACAAGCGGTCGTCAAGGAAGCCGAAGCTGTCAGAGATCAGCTGAAAGAAGAGAAGGTACGAACACTTGAAAAGCACTCATTGAGTAGATCCCACGGCACTGCTTAGCGCTATTGGTGATGTTTGCACAATTCCCTAGAACTCCACCGATAAGCCTCTCGCCTAAAATCAATGTTCCAACTTTTACATGACCATGTAGAGGTTCTGCACCATCACCACAAGCGCAATCCCAGTTATTTTGAAGTACATGGACATGTAGTTGACAACACACATCCAGGCACGTGTTGAGTCATTTAGATCACTCAACAGCGACCAAGGTGCGTATAACTTGTTGTGCAATCTGTTAGGAAGGGCTCGCTGCAACGTGCGAGTTTTTGTGTAATGTGATAATTGTACCGTTGACAAGTAATATTGGCACAGTGCTCGTAAACAAGAGCACTGTTATTACACATAGCCCTGTTCAATTGAAGTCCTGTGACTTTTGTCCATTGTCACGGTGTTGCTGTGCAAGTGAACCCTACCTCTGAACGGCAGTGCTAAGTTTGTGATCACAGCGTTGCTGTATGATGGTTTCCTTTCGAACCAGCTATGTAGGTTTATGAGGGCGGGTGCAACACCACACCTCAGATGCTTCGTTTGTTGTGCATTTGAATGATGTCTCGTTACAGTCTTGAATTAGTACATACTTCTAGAAGTTGGTCCCACGTAGCCTGATTTACTCTGCAAGCTCGTTGGAGCAATCAACTTCAAAACTTGTACTTCAAGTACTTCCTCCGTATACAAAAACTTCGTGACTTTTTTTAAGGCTGCGCATAGCTCTGGAATTGTTCCGTTTGACTTGGAATAACACTCGTGGCCTTGTCTAACCTGTTTACAAGCTATATACAAAGAAAAAAGCAACTCAGACGAATGAGATTGAGTTTATTCAGAGTCTTCGTTGCTCCTGTCATTGAAATGTACGCAACAGTGCCCACCCTCCTGACCAGGGATCACACAAACCCTGCGTTTTGTCGGGTCTGTCCGACTCCTGGCTCTTGACCTTTGGTCGGTGTACGAGATGCAAGAACAGTTTTCGTAGGGTGAGTACTTTTTCATGTAGCACTGAATGCGGCAAGTAGGACTCGCCCATCCGCCCCTCCCCACCTGAAGCGTCGAGGAGGTAGGGGCGCTCTGGCGGGATTTTACGGTAAGTGCTATTTTTTTGTCATTTGACTCGTGAGTTCCTGTTGGCAACGTCCTCTCACGCATGGCTTCCGTTGAGAATCTGTTCGAGATCAACCAAACCTACATACAATGAATGTGGGTTGTCGATGACAGCCTTTGGTGCGGTTCGTTGAGCAGGTTCTTGCTCAAAAACACCGTTGAAAAAAGTCACGAAGTTTTTGTATACGGAGGAAGTAAGTTAGTTTGATTTTTGTCTTGTTTCTATTCGTGAAAGGTGCTGAATAATGAGTTGAAACAGAGACAGGCACAGCAATTCAGTGATGCTGACCGTGAGCTCAAGTCGCTGCAGGATAAGTTAGCAAGCACTGGAACCCGTCATGCAGCCGAGTTAAAGCAGGAGGTGAGGTGATATAAAGGCTCATGTTTGCCTCTCAGTCTTCTTTCCTTCTTTTTATGCTCTTGTCCACCTCTCTGGCTACTCCCCTCATAAAAATATTATGCATTAGCTACCCCCGCCGCCTCCCTCTTACGTTGTAGATGTAGTTGACATTGGATTCAAAGTGTATTTGAAGTGCCTGTACTAGTATGGGCCACCAGACCATATCCTCTCTGTATGGGACAACTGTTGTTTGAGTTCATACTACCTTTCCCTGTTGGCGTACCTTGGAACCTTTCCAAGCTTAGTTGTGTGTGTGTGTGTGTGTGTGTGTGTGTGTGTGTGTGTGTGCGTGTGTGTGTACGTGTGTGTGTGTTTATCGTGTCCGCTCTATGCAGAAGGATGAAGTTCAACGTCTTACACTGCTATGTGCTCGTCACCAGCAAGATGCGGACACACTGCGTGCTGCCATCACCGCCCAGTCCTCGCAAACTCAGTTCCTCCAGGCGATGGTTGGGGATTTGGTCAGCAAGTGAGTTTTCCTTGTCTCGCTCATAAGCACACATCGCTTTCCTCTCTTTCTCCCCCCCCCACCCCTCTCTCTCTCTCTCTCACACACACACACACGCGCACACACACACACACACACACACACACACACACACACACACACGATATGGTATTATGCTATTAGGGCTGGTCATTTTAAAATCACCCACGGGCACCAGCTGTACACTATAGAACACATGGGTGAGTGAGCTGGCTAACCAATACAGTCATGTACTAGTAGTATTGAATCAATGGGATGCACACTAAGGCATAATATTATACTGTTATGGGGACAATATGCACTGTTACAGAATCATGTTTTTTGTAGATCTTAAACTGTGAGTGTGCGCTATCCTTGTGAATTCCTCTAGGAGAAATGCCAATCTGCCTGAGGAGCTGAGCAAGCTCATAATGGAGAGCGCTGTGGGAAAACGAGACGGACCGTCCGAGGCACATGCTGCACTGGTTACACAACTGCACAAAGAGTATGTTGTTGGTGATGTTTTGCTGGTGGTCACTTTTAGATTCGACGGCTCTCTTTTAGACCATGTGTCCATTTACTTGCGCAGCTAAATGACGTGTGTTTATGTGTGTGTATGTGTGTGTGTGTATATATATATGTATGTATTTGTGGTACCCCGTTCATGGGTTTGGCCATGCCAGTGTTGAAACCCCCAGCATCCGTGGAATGTGCAGTGTGCAAGTTAACAGTGAGGAGATGCTACGTGATAGGCTATCGTTACCCACTCCTCACCAGCATACGTATATCCCTCATAAACATCTCTCCCTGTCCAGTGAGGACTACTGTGCTAACTATACATATGTTTGCAGTGGAATGTGTAGCTGAAACAACCAGGCACTAAGCAAATAGCTGTGATGCATCATCCTCTGATGCTCGAATTGGACATGGGTTATGATTGGCCCTGCAGACGGCCTGGGGCCATACTAACCCTAGCGAGCTAGCTTCAGACCTCATTGTAATTACTGGCCTAAGACGTTACCGTAATGTTCAGGTTACACGTTAACCCCGGTTATAAGCCGACCCCAGTACTTAGTTGAACTCGGATGGTGAGCCAATGGTTTATTATGGTGAAAAAAAATCTGGTTACGTTGGTGGATAGTTCATAACTCGTAACATTTTGTCCTTCTCCTTTCCCAGTACTTGGGGTCCCAATTTACCGGTTCAATATCAATATGATCAATAGATGAACTTCACATGGTGATCAACAGAAGTTGAACCATGGATGTAAGTTGGCTACCCTAAAAAATACACGTTTTATGTCATGAAAAGTCGACTTACAACCGAGAAAATATGGTACCTTCCCAGGGCTATTTACCACTTACAACACGAGGAAATACACTGTTGGTCTAGCAATCACAGACGACAAGAAATGAAGGAACAACGTGAGAAAGAAGAACAGCACCTATGCTTATCCATTGTCAGAAGGCAGCCATGCTGTGCAGGTAACCAATCACGAAGCAGTTAAACCAGTTTTGCACGAAAAGGGTAAACCTTTTGTTAAAACACAGATCTCTAAATCAGAGTTCCCTCAGCCAATCCCGTTCACGCCAATACGTGTTTTACTTTCAATAGCTATCAATTAATTTTGTGATTTGTTCTTCAGATCAGAGTAAACTTATGGTCCTCTATTTTTTTAATTTTGGTTCTTCAGGTATTTTAAAGGATTAGGAGAACTTGAAATTCAAAGGATCAATCCTTTGAATTCTTCGGATATTTGATATTAATTTTAAGCCGCATTAATTTTGATGAAACATCTTGAAAAAATTCGACCCTTAAAGAGCTGATACTGGTCATACGAGTCTTGCGAAACTATAGTTCTATGAAAATGAGTACAGTCAACTTCGCTAATAACGACTGCGGATATAACGACAATTCGCGAATAACGACAGAATTTCCATGCCCAGAGCAAAGTCCCATCCGACTGTGACACAGATAATGAGACTTCGGGTATAACGACAATTCGCGAATAAGGACACATTTCTGATGCCCCGCCGAGTGTCGTTATAAGCGAAGTTGACTGTAATGAACAGAAGTCGCATGCACACAAGCGTCATACAAAAGCAAACATCATTCGTCTCCCTGGTTTCCATGGCGCTCAGTTTGTCCAGGAGCCTGAGGACTACTTGCAGCAGCACTCGTACCGCCTGTGGCACGGTGCTCCTATTTCCATGTGCACGTCTGTGTTGTTGAAGCTCAGCGGATAGTCCCCTCGGGTCTCTGACACACGCACCGGGGCCAATGTCAGCATGGGCTGCTGTGGGGCTATACATTCCTGCGCTTTAGCCTTTCACCTCATACCTGTCCAATTGTAAGAGAAGTATAACGACGCGCTGAGCTTCGGCGAGCGAATAGTCATCTGATAGGAGTTGGTCCGCCGCCATGTACTAATCTCTATACTAGAGTGAGGAAACCAATGGTTTGAGCAAGACCTGTATGCTGTGTAGGATGAACCCAGGCCATGTTTTGATGCTTGGATCGCTGTCTCTGAGGACAGCGAGGACAGCCAGGGTCATCTAAATCGACAGGAATCGGTCACCGTAACTACTAGTAGTCAGCACCCAAACTGGTCTCTAAACGAATGTCTTGACTCGGTTTCTGAACAACTCTGCCGACTTCTCTCGTGTTTTTACGAAGCTGTGAGGTGACTGTAGTGGCATCTTGCTAAGACTCAGTATAGAGCTGCAATTCCAAGAGTGAACGGACAACCCGTTACCTCACAGGGGATTTTCGGTTGATGGGCATTTCATCTTTCAAGACTTGGAACTCTCTTCAGCTGTTGTGCGGTGCTTTGCTTTCTACAATGGTGGATAGAATTATTGTCCCAGCAGCCATGTTGTTGAGTGATTCAGTTCGTTGTTGCTACCTTGGTAGCCTAGACTATACAAGCTAGTGTGATCAAGACGTTAAGGCAAGCATAGCTTGCAATCTGGATTACAAAGCATTTCGATGTGAAAATTACCAAGACTCGTTCTTCTGAATTCCTCTCCCCTCTCCCAAGGGGATACCTGCATGACCAGTTTCTGGCTTTGAGTGAGTACAAGTTAGTGTGTGTGTATGTGTGCCGGTGTGTGTGTGTGCGTGTGCGTGTGTGTGTGTGTGTGTATTTGTGTGTGTGTGTGTGTATGTGTGTGTGTATGTGTGTGTGTGTGTTTATGTGTTCTTTCTTGTCTAGAATCGACAACAAGGAAAAGCAATACAGTGCACTGGAGGATGAGTTCAGGGAAGCACTGAAGATGGAAGCGGCACGTTTCCAACAGGTCAGTCATGACATCATGATTATAATTATGGACTTATCTTGCAATAATTCTCATCACAATATTGGACTTGAATAGGAAAGAGATGAGTCTAGAGTCTGCCGAACTTGACACTTGACTGACTCGCGACTGCCATCCGGAGCACCCAAGGAGCACGTCGGTGCTTTCTTGCAGGTTTGCCGAGTGGAAGGTGCGACGTGCTCCTCGTGTGCTCCGGATGGCAGTCGTGAGTCAGTCAAGTGTCAAGTTCGGCAGGAAGCGTGTGTTCCTCGTTGGAACAAACAACTTCATGGCTAATACCGTCCAAGGCACAACTTCTAAGGTCGTACTTCTTTGATGTTATTCGATCTCCACGCAGCTAAGCTCTTTCGACGTTGTTTTTATTTGTATGATCACAGTTGCAAGTTGCTGCAGAGGAGCAAGCTGTTCGCTGCTTCCAGGTGTCTGATGCACTCGAGAGGACTGAATGTCAGGAGAAGGAAGCCACTGCTATGGTGGCACGGCTGACAGGGGTGAGTACAAATACCTGCTGACCATCCGGTTTTGGCCGGGACCGTCCCGATATCGAGGGTGGTAATAGGCACCCCAAAGTGCATTAGTTGCATGCCTCACAGCTTCATTTGTGTACATATTCATACCTACAATGTAGGTATGTCATTGTCCAGATCTCACGTTTGCTAAGGTTGGCAGGTATGAGTGCAGGACTGTGCAACGATGGCAGAGAGATGTCACGTGTGGCCATGTGATGCCGTGTGCGTAGACACAACGGACTGGTTTCTTGCATTTCCAAGGCGGCAAGCCTTCTTTGGAAGCCTTCTAAAAGTGGTCATCTTCCTCCAATAGCTGGGTGTATTGTCATGCAATTTACACTGAAGCTCCATCAGTTTTTGAAGTCGTTCTTTGCTGAACAATCCCAGCATATCAACTGTGTACATTTCTCCCCGACAGATTGTGATCACTGCATCCCCATCCAGACTCATACAGGCCGTGGGTAGTATGCTTGCCTGGCTGCCTGTTCAGCAGTGAAACTGCCTGCTGTGTTTCAGTTACCACTCTCTTCGTCTCTATCTACATGTATCTTCATCTTCAACAAGAATAAGAGGAGGAAACACGTGTTTTAACTCCGAGTTTCACGCACTGTTTTCTGATGATCGCTTTGTGCGTGAAACTCGGGGTTAAAACACTTTTTTCCTCCTCTTATTCTTGTTGGAACTAGCTCTGGCTTCTGGTACAGAGCCGTCGAACAGCTATTGTATCTTTATCTTCCAATTGTCCGCATCAGGTGTTGCGTGATCAGCAGAATAAAGTAAGGGACCTCACACAAAAACAACTGGAGACCAAGTCACCTAAAGAGGTCAGTACCTGCCTGCTTGACTGCTTGCATTGAGACTCTGCCGTTACGCTAACACAGTACTGGTGCAGCATTGCTGTAAATAATAGTCTCCAGCCTTCAAGTTGAAAGACGGCATAGTTGTGATCAAAGCCGCTACATTTTGCCAACCATCTCAAGTACGTTTGAGGGCAAGTGCGTGGCACATATAAAGGTCCACTAGGCTACAGTTGACCTAGCATGTACATGTCATCATAGTTAGAAACACAATCATAATGTTATCAGCAACCTGAAAGAGAGTTATGGGTGGAATTGATGACCGCTGGAAATTGGCCTGATTTGGCTATGTAGATGCTGGAAAGTATAAATTTGAGAAGATTGGCAATTCCTCATTTGGCCCCCGGTTAGATCCTGTGTAGAGGGTATAAAAGGAAACATCCATATCATAGATGTTTCCTTTTCAAGATAATCTCCACCATATTCACAGTACAGTGTCCGGCCATCAAAAGTTCTTCTAGCATCGTCAAAATGCTTTCCCGCGGCTCTTCGAGTTTTCATTGATTGTTCATTGGTATCTTTCCGGAATCTTTTTGAAGTTGGCCTTTGTCCAAGGAATTCACATGTTTTCTATTTTTTGTGTTTGTGTGTTTCATTGTTTAGATGCATGCAAGCTATGAGCGTCAGATAGCATCCCTGGAAGCCACTGTCCAGGCTCTGAGGGATGAGCAGCAGAGATGGCAAGCCGATCAGCATCAGAAAGGTCAGTCGGGGCTACCAGCCATGACGGTATATCCACTTATACGTAGGTGAGAAGGCAGATGCACGCTGAATTAAGTTTTGAATAGGGAAATAGGCATCGCATAGGGATAAAGCGCTGAATGTGCCTACCGGTATTCGAACTTAGAACAGTATAGTGGAAACTGGGTCAAATTTGCAAGAAGTGATATCCATCTCTTTTTCATGCACAACTGTTTATCTGATTATCTTCATGAAACTAGCTCTTGTAGGTGATGCTTTAAAAGAAAATCTATTTTGAAACTCATCGCGTCACCCTACTTTGAAATCGTCAATCAATCTCTATGTGGACACTGTTCTGGGAATCTTGGGCCAGGCTAGTTAGGAACTGCTGGACTGGCATGCACACGGACACAGCTTTGATTCTTTGTCTAGACAACCTGTGCCAGGATCATGATATCATCCCTCCCGTCTGTTTTCATGCAAGTCTGATCGTTCACTTTCTCGTTCTTCCCATGTACTCACATGTGCAGAGAGTGCTCTGCGAAAAGAACGACTCGACCTGGAGATGCAACTGTCCAAGGCCACAGCACAAACTGCAAACTTACGTGCCCAGTTGCAAGTGAGTTGTGTATGCAACCCGGTACCCGGCATGCCGGCCAATCAAATCTATCAAGATGTGACTGTGTAGCAACGCTGCTTTTGCTAAGAGCTCCAACTTCACACAGGCCAAACACATATATACAGTCATGTCGGGTGCAGAAAGATTCAAGAACGTGCTACTGAATAGCGACCAAGCTAGACTATGTTATGTTCATAAGGCTGGCCGAGTTGACCGACTAAAAACTACGAAAAGAGAATGCCAAGCTGGAAACAAATATCTAGTCATGATGGTGCTTTTTTTGTTGTTAAACCTTACGTACGTACAGTACATATCTACTGTGCGAATCTACAAACACAATAGACTGGGGTGACAGATGCCGGCATCCAACACATCGCCATCTGCTGGGCTAGGATAGGCTTGTAAGTTGTTACAAATGCTCTGTCTGTATATTCTTACGTGCTCGTGTGCTGCAGGAGGCCAACGAATCGCTCGTTGTCAAGTCCAAGATGCTGGATGATCAGAACACGGCCATCAAAGAGTTGAAAGAGGTAATAAAATACTACCGAGTGCCCGTTGATACAGTTTGAAACAAACCGTGACCTGCAACACACACCTGCAACATGATTGAGATTTTTCCACTTGCCTTCCAACAACAGGGATATTGCTTGTCATCGTGCTGTACAGTTAGGCTTTGGCAGGAGTGTATCTCGAATTTTTACTTCTTCTTTTTTTACGCACAGAAACTAGCCAAGTCAAAAACGCAGCTTACGGATGAGTCGCGCTCCATGGCAGGGCGGCTGCAACAGGCCGAGGAGAACCTGGCCTCCATCTCCATAGCCCACCAGGACCTGCAGGAAGAGGTGGATGCGCTGCGCGAGCGCAAGCAACAGTTGAAATCCGAGCTGGCAACAGCCAGCGGGCACCTGCAGGAGTTTGACTCGGCTTGCAGGTGAGTCATGCCTTTTGACTTTGAGTGCACTGCATGTAAGCGTGGAGTTCTCTTGTCAGTGTACATGTAGTGTTGGAATAGTAGCTGGAGTTCACGGGTCCATGAGTGAGTTGCACCTGCACTTTCATCATCGCTGAGGGTGACAACATTTCTTTGGTTGCGAAACCGCGGTCCAACTGAGTGCAATACAAACTGCATGTATGGCCAGTATCTACTCCGACCAGACACACGGCAAATGAGGCTAAACTGAAGCAGGGGGGCACCCTGTCCACTAGATAGGGGAGTCGGAGAGGTCAAAATATTCTTGAAACAGCTATGCAGCTACATCTAGGTATAAGGAGGATACTTTGCATATTGGAACTAAGCCCTCAGTGGCTTCATAGCATGCAGTGAACCTGATCCTTGGACCCATTTACTAGAAACATGCACGTACTGAAATATGCCTGTGACCCTCTCGGGCTCAGCGCCTGGCACAAGTGTGGGAAGTGAAACGCCTTCTACGTGTACTGCTCATTTACTATCGGGCAGCTGGTATTGGCTAGCACTGTAAACAAGCGACTCCCTTGTTTCTCCTGCTACAGTAGTAACAGTGAAGGTAGTTTTGCACTCATGGCTCACTCCATTTTTCTTCCGTAAGAAAAAGAATGGATTTCGACTGCCAATAATCGAAGACAACCCAATAATAAAAATCATTAATTTGGTCCAATTGCATGCAGAACATGCAGAACATGAATAGGCAAAATGTTGTACTAGCACCATCCATTTACAACAAAAGAATAAACACAGAGAAGTGAAAGCAGACTGATATTGCAGGAAATAGGGCGGTGGATAGATGCCAGTGTTCTGCAGGCAGGTAGGAGACAATTTAGCCACCGAGAGCGAATCTTAGCTATAGAGGGAATCGGTCGCAATAACTGCTCAGGCTCATTTGGGAATGAGCCATTATCTGGTGCCACGTTCATCCCGGCAGAGTATTGTTTAAGGACTACTGCCAGTACACTGCAATTGTTGGTTGACTGCTTGTGTTGGTTGACTGCTTGTGTTGGTTGACTGCTTGTGTTGGTTGACTGCTTGTGTTGGTTGACCGCTTGTGCACTCGCCTGTTCGTTCAGTGTTCTACAGGAACAAATCAGCAAGAAAGACGCACAGCTTGGTGAGAAGAAGGCCACCATTGAAGAACTTCAAAAGAAAATTGCAACACTGGAAGAAGAGCTGCAGCGGCTTCATGAAGCTATTGCAGAGCAAACCACGTAAGCGGGATGCATAAACACACAGTGGACCCCCGTTTAGCCCAACACACTCCAAGATAAAAATTTGGGTTGGAAATGTAGGTCAGAGCCAAAGAAAGTTCAGGCAGGATATACTGGAGAAATGTCCACTAAGAAGTTTGAAGTGATTGTCAACCGCTCTTGCATGAGAAAGGAGAAGCTAGCTCCAAGCCATCCCAAACCCGACCACCATCTCTTGTTGTTTCTGCATGAGGAAGAGGAAGGGGGAATTCTAAATTTCTGCCATCCCAAACCCCAACCACCATCCCCTCCTGGAATGATTACTTTTATAGCCTATCCTGGCTGTCTCCTGCTGAACTCTGACTGGCTGTGAGTACTTCGCACCTGAAGTGATTGGTCAACAATCTTGTTGTTTCTGCATAAGGAAGGAGAAAGAAGCTTCTACTAGAAAAGAAAATTCTAAATTTCATAAAAGTCTGATAAGAAAGAAACAATCCCTGATCCCCAGACGTTCATGTGGGGTTCAATTAGCTATGTGGGCACTCTACACTTCTTTAGCACTGTCTATTTTCGCGGACAATTTCTTGCTTGTGTTGCCAGCCAAGTCACTCAACATTTTTCGGCTGCATCTACAATTTATATCAATTAGAGACATTGGTGCAGTAAAACTAGATGCAAAATGCACAAGAGTAGTCAGGTGATGTTTAGGGCTGTCCAAGGTTACCAATTTTTTTCCCGAAGGAATATTTTTCGTTTGGGATTGGACGGGTTTTAGTTCAGTTTTGAAATCACATGTAATCATTGCACACGGAGAATGCCCCGATACTACTGCTTGTCGAAGGTTGAAATCAATATTGTGTTGGAATTCACTTTACCTGCAGAAAGCCGGGGTGAGTAGGTCTGTGTTAATGAACCCCAGTTGTATGTAAACCTTTGCTTAGTTTGGTTTTAACTTATTATTCATAAGTTGAGGGAAAGTTGTAAACGGGAAAGTTATTTTTTACTACTTTTTACTAACGTTTTTAGGTGGGGTTCCTTTAGGTCATAAAACTGATATCCAAATAAATTTGCTTCCGAAGTGACCGGTTAGAGATTTTATCGCTCTGGATTGGAGGTGTCTCTCTGCAGATTGAGAGCCGATTTTGATTTGAAGTTTTGGATATTGGCTTCGTGGACCACTACCCGGCCAGTTGTGGACACGCCATTGCTGTGGATTATTTCCTTCCCTCGATATTGCAGCGTGAAAGAGGCTGGCTTGGCTTTTCGGTGGCCATTGTTTGCTTCGTCTTGCTGTGTCTTCTTCCTCCTGCGCTACCGAGGTCGGTCCCAGGCGTGAAGGCGTTGCTGGCGCTAGCCAACGCTAGCCAACGAACACTTCCTGCTGGAGTGGTGTTCAGAGTCAGTCACGTGATGGCGCTAGATCTCAATATTGACCTGGCGATCCTGGAGTTTTCGCAGCTTCAGAAACTAGCTGAGCAGAAGGACATACCTAATTCGTGTGACCTAGCACGCCCAGACTTGGTTGCTACTCTGCGCGAAAATGGTATTGGCACTTATCCCCCAGGTTCGGCGCCCTGCCAATTCCCTGCCTGTGGTGAGAAGTGCCTGCCATCAATGGTACCTTGCCTTGAGAAACTTCAGGATTGCATCGCCAGTCTAACACGTGAACTTGCTGCAATTTCAGCAACCAGAGATGCAGAGCTAACGAGCTTGCGAAATGATTTACTATCCACACGGGAAAAGGTGAACCAGTTGGAGAACGTTGTTGGCTGTGGTGTGTTAGTCCAGCCTTGCAGAACTCAGAAGACCATGGATCTGGCTGGAGCAGCTCAATGCTCACATACGTCATCCCTCCAAAGCGACAAAGCATCAACAGTAAAAGAGAATGGACAGCTAGCCAAGACACCAGACGTTCCTAGACCATATGCCCAAGTTCTAGCAAATGGGCTCATGGCTGAAACTTCTAGTAGTGCCAGTACTGCCGATAAGGACGACGTATCCTTTCAGCCTGTCATGTCAAGGAATCAGCGCCGTCAAGCCAGGAGGATGACACGGATCCAACCTCACCCTACTGAAATAGAAGAGGTTGGACTCCCTGCAAACAAACAGGCAAAGGAAGAAGCACCACAAAGAAATCCCATCCGTCGCCAGGTATCATCACGTTACGCCAAACCAAACCAGAATGTCCCTGGTTCAGTTCCGTCTCTGGATGCTGCACCCCGCAGTCCGCGAAAGGTCTTCTACTTGGGAGATATTCGTTTGGTTGTGAGGCAGCGAGTATAGCAGACTGGTGCAGGGAACGCGGTGTTGAAATAGTGCAGTGCTTAATATACTCCTCCGAGTATTTTCGAACTGCCTCCGCCAGAGTGACTGTCGAGGGTAAGGATGCCGATACTGTATGCCGGCACACCTTCTGGCCAAACACAATGGGTCATACCGTGAGGGAATGGTGTTTCTATTCTGACCAGCCCACCGGACAATATCTCTCACAATGAATAGTAACCTTGTCTTCCCCAACACTACTGGAACACTGAATCCACTGGCCCGTCCCTTTTATCCTCCCATCCATACTGCCCTTACCATCCTTTCCCTCAACTGCCGCTCAGTGGTCAACAAAGTAGCGGAACTCACTGTTATGTGCAACATCTACTCTCCGGAGGTTATATGTTTGTGTGAAACATGGTTGTCCCCTGCCAACCTCTTCTCATTGGCAGGCTACACAGTTCATCGACGGGATCGTCCCACCTCTAATATTCGATCGGCCAATCCTACCAGAGGTTATGGTGGGGTAGCCATATTGGTGAAAGATGGCTCCTTTACATCGGTGAAGCCTCTGGCGAATCTTCAGCAACCGGGCTTGGAGGCCATCTGGCTTGAGCTTCGCACAGCCAACTCACCCCAACGTCCACTCGTAGTCTGCGCCACCTACCGACCTCCTGGTGGTACCCTGGCGGATATCCAGGCATATTCTGATGGTCTGGAAGACTGCCTTCTGTCGCTTGATCTACCTGTATCCACACTACTCCTCACCGGTGACTTCAATGCCCATAACTCGAGCTGGTTGGCTGGTGATCGGACAACCGCGGTGGGTCAGTGCCTTGAAACCGCCTTCAGGTGCTTCGGATTAGAGCAACTGGTCAACTTCCCTACGCACTGGAGCCCAAGTGGCCGGTCATCTTGCTTGGACCTCATCGTCACAAATTCACCCCAGCAGTTCCTCTCCGTTGATTCAGCCGCTCCACTGGGTAGCTCTGACCACGTGCAGCTCATCTGTCGAGTCCGTCTCCCTGTCACGTCCAAAAATCCAACCCTACAACATCACTCCCTCCCAATCTACCCCTACACCCCCAGGTTATTAATTTCAAGTTGGTGCCACGTTGCGTATGGGATGACCTGAATGCTTAACTTGCTGATGTCCACTGGAAATGTCACCTCCGCAGCTCGCACGTGGATGACGCTCTTTCGTCTTTCCACTCTATTCTTAGCAGGGCCATGGAGAAGCACCTCGGGTACTTCTCCCGGCGTCCACTCTCCCCCTCATGCCGACGTTTAGGTCAGCCACCTTGGGTTGATGCCCCCCTCCGTGCCGCCATTAAGGCAAAGCACGATTTCTACAGTGTGTGTAAGAAATACCCAACCCAGCTTAACATGCATGTATATCGATCTCAACGGAACTTGGTGAAGAGTCTCGATCGAAATACCGGGGATACATTTGGTCCGTACAAGCTACGCTGCAGGACAAAAACCGCACATCACTGTTTCAGTTCGTGAGCAAATTAAAAAATCATAAAGTATCTCGTGACATCCCGACACTCACCATTAGTTCTACACAGCAGGCTACTACCTCTTCAGCTAAAGCCACTGCATTGAACTCTCAGTTCGCCTCAGTGGCCGTGCCTGATGACCCTTCTCTACCCATTCCCCCCATTGCCGAGGAGAATCTGTCTTTACTACGACTGTTGCCATCCGACGTTACATTCGAAAGCTCCCGTCTGACAAGGCGCCAGGCCCAGACGGCATCACTAATCTGGTATTAAAGTCCCTTGCGCCCTCAATAGCATACCCCTTATGTCTGATTTTCAACCTATCATTCCGCACTGGTCGTTTTCCCTCTGCATGGAAAACAGCTAATGTTATACCGATCTACAAGAAAGGGTCCCGCCACGAAGCATCAAACTACCGTCCGATATCTCTACTGTCCTGTGTTTCCAAACTCTGTGAGCGCGTTTTCTACGACCAATTGTACTGTCATGTCTCGTCACGTTTGAGTTCAGCTCAGTCCGGATTTCGCAGAGGCGATTCTACCACCCTCCAGCTGACGCGCCTGGTGCAATTAGTGTGTCGACATCGGGATGCTGGAGACCTAGTCGGGATCTGTTTTTTCGATCTTGCCAAGGCCTTCGATACAGTCTGGCACCGGGGGCTCTTGGCCAAGCTTCGTGGATCGTTTACTGTAGACGGCAATCCCCTGCTATGGCTGACATCTTACCTAACTGGGCGAACGCAGTACGTCACGGTACATGGGACGTCCTCAGCCGACACAACAGTACTATCCGGAGTTCCCCAGGGTTCCATCCTCGGCCCCCTTCTTTTTATCTTATACGTCAATGATCTGCCCGCAGCTGCCCCGGGCACATCACTATTCGCAGACGACACAACGCTCCTACGGGCATCTCCTAACATCACTGGCCTGATGAGTAACCTAGCTAACGGGATTCAAAGAGTAATTTCCTGGATGTCGTCTTGGCGGTTATCGCCCAATCTGTCTAAAACTAAAATCATGCTCTTTCCTTCTCAGCCTGATGTTCCGCCCCTCCTCCATCCCACTTTCCCCCAGCCTATAGACATAGTCTCCAGCCATAAGCATCTTGGCATTTTCATTGACTCTAATCTTTCATGGGAACCCCACATCGATTACATATGTAAACGATCAAGTTCATCTTTAGGAATCCTCTTTTCTCACTGTTACCATCTCCCAATCTCTTGTAAACTCCTCCTTTACTCAGCTTACATACGCCCCATTTTTGATTATGCAGATACTGCTTGGGCTGGAATTTCCACAACCCGTGCTGAAAAGCTCGAAATTCAGCACAAAAAAGTTCTAAAAATCCTCCTCCGGAAACCCCGCATGCTCCCATCTTCCACCCTTTATGCCTTTGCTCACACTACCCCTTTGTCTAAGAGACGTAATTCACATCTTGTCACCCTTATCCATTCTCTCAAACTCAATCTGTGTCCACCTCACCTCCACTGTTTCAACTGGTTTTCTTCCCGTAGCATGAGAAACTCCCTTTCCCTTCCGAAACCTAAGTCCTCCTTTCTACTTCACTCTCCCCTTTTCACTGCGTACTCTGCGTGGCTGGCACTTCCCCAAGAAGCTAGGGACCTTTCTTCCCTCCGCCTTTTTAAGAGCCTTGTCGCGCCTCGACTTTGATTTTGTGTTTCTCATTTTGTTGCAATCACTACTTATCCATGCCGGTTCCTTTTTTCTTCTCCTCCCCTTCTCCCTTCCTTGCCGTGGTTGGCTAACACCCTCTCTCTTTGTATTGGCCGGTGTTCTCACTGTGCTATGAGATGCTGCAATAAATTTAAAAAAAAAAATGTCAACTTATCCCGGTAAAATATGGTCAGCTGAGATTCGTCTCTTACCTGCTGGAGATTTGGAATGTCTGCTTGCAGGAAACACAAGCTGGACTATGAACGGCAGGAAGCAGCTTCACAGCAAAGGATTGAGTCCAGTGAGGTGGAACACCGCAACGAGTTGCTAGCTGTCAAGCAAGTCCACGAGAAACTTCTGGAAGAGGCAGAGAAAAAGGTAAAGGAAGTGGGAAAAGATATCATAATCATATAACTGTACTCTCGTATCTTATCCATTTGGACGGTCCGGGACCCGGCACTGCGCGTAGCTCTGGATACATACATTTTGATGGGAAAAGCCATAGAATTGGCATATGGCGTCACTATTTCCACACCAAAAAGTGACGAAAGAGTAGTAAAACTTACACTAAAGCTCGCCCAATGGGTGTCCGTAACTTCGGTAGGACTCTACTACGAGTGTAACAGGGCTTCAGCAGATTGTAGCAGGGGTGGATTGGATATCATGTCAACGTAATATTCCTTCCGGTTCAGAAAAAAATGTGACTACACTGTATGCATCAAATTTTTAACTCGCTATTATTATACTATTTGCTGGTCCAGGTTACGTCTGTCGAGCAAGAGATGCGAATGCTGTTAACGGAACAAGAGGCTAAACAGAGAGATGTGCAAACTCTACTCGCTCACCTGCATGGCCTCGTTGCATCGGACATGCCACCACCGCTTCTCCCAGTGCCACAGCAGATCCCAGCCGGTCATGGCGAACACCAACGTCATCACTCTGCATCACCACTACCAACAGCACACACAGTGCATGAGCCGCATTCACAGCATTCGCAACTGCCGCCGCATCCAACGCAGCCACAGGTGGATCAACGTCAGCAGTCGCATCCACCTACAGGCCAGCTGTCTGGGTCACAACCCGGAAGCACGCAGCACAGTTGCCACGCACCATACAGTGTACGAGGTGGTTCTGAGCGACGCTCTGACTGCTGCTGTAGTGCACACCAAGCACAGCACCATACCAGACGAGGAGATGCCTCATCACCCACATGCAATACAGCAACACACAGGGAGAGTGCGCTGACAGAGGCCTCGAGCTCACAGCACACAGAGGACCCTACACATGCCAACAAGCAATCCACACAGAAAGCAACCCGTGATCAAACAGAATCACGGCAGGTGACTCACTCCTTGGGCAAAGCTAGAATTTCATCATCTAGCCAGCTACAACAAGAGGTACAGCAGCGCCTGCAAAAGAAGCAGCGGTTACTACAGCAACTGGAACAACTCAATGCAGCTGGATATAAATGATTTTTTTACTTCAACATTTCCACTTTTCGATTATAATGATATTGATTAGGACAAGTGCCATTTTACTGATATTCCGATCCGAATTATATTGGAAAATGCTGCATCCAGAAACGGTTCAATCAAAATTGCTCAGAGCCTCAGACCTAAGTTTGTATCCTTGTCGTTTTTGTTTAGTTTTTGTTTTATGGAGTTGGTCTAAGTTTGTTTTGTTGTTTTATGTTTTAATACCTGTAGTTTAGGTTAGCGCAATTGTGCAAATTGTGCATTGTGTGGGCAGTGAAACTGGTATCGTATCTTCCGGGGTCAAAGCCACGTTTATTTTCTTCTCGAAATTGAGCTAGAAATCTGCCTTGCAGCATATACCCAAACAGGACACAAAATTTGCACGTTAATTTTACACCCGAGGACGCACCCAGTGTGCTGACAGTGCTCAACACCATGTGCGGGAAAGCGCTGTGTGGAAAGCTATGTGTGTGTGAATGTGGGGGCTGCATATGTTTCAGGGCTAGCAGTGTCAGGGGCTAGCAGTGTCAGGGGCTAGCAGTGTCAGGGGCGTCGGACACGGTACGGTCACTACAGTATTGATCGTACCACTTTTCGCGAGAGGTGCCCCTCGTGGAAGGTTCAAAACTGGTGTAAAAAAATTCTGGAAGTGGCACTTTTGGCGAGTGGTGGTGCACGTACGTAGTGGTCCTACAGTCCATTCAGAAAAAGATGGACTTCTAGCTTTTGGCCATAAATGGGTCAAACTTTGAGTTTTTTTAGAATTTTTTTCTGCAATCCCCTATGGAATCCTCTTCCAATTATGTTTCTGAAGTCTATTTGTCCAAAAAGCAAGCCATAACAAGAATAGGATATCGGCCAGGTTTTGCCCCAGAAGCATTGAATTGGAAAAAACCATCAAAATCCAGGCCGTTTGACCCTGCCTGCAACAGTGCATTGTGGGGTTCGAACCCCAGTTCAGGTACCCTTTTTGGACTCTTTTTCAAAGTTCAAATTTCGCAGCACTGCACTGTGTACAATGAAATCACGAAAAATCGCCAAATACGGGAGCTCGCCAGAGCCAGAGCCCATCTTTTTCTGAATGGACTGTAGTCCTAGACTGTCGGTGTCTGTGTACAGCGCTGTGCTTCACACTGTAGTCAGTGTAGATCTACACTACTTACTACTAGTAGAGTGTCATGTAGCGTAGTGTAGTGTAGCCGGTGTAGTCGTTCTGTCAAAAAAGTCTGTGTGTCGCTGTCACACATGTAGACCTACACGATCTAGTCGAGACGACAAGAGTCGCGACTACTGCCAGTATTGAGTATTACTGCTACTTACTAGTACATGTACTAGTACTGATACGCACTCGCACTGCGTGTAGCACTGCTAGTTCATGTATTACCCCACCGTCGGTTGACAAGACAAGAGCCGATGCTTGCGCCCGGGACCTAGCATGCACTTGTGATGGTACATGGTAAGTTAGTTACAGTAACTAACCACACCTTTCACAGCTCACTTCCTTTTGGAGTTGATTTAGCTGTACACCATGTAAACCAAATAACTACTACTTACTTAAGTCTTTGTAGTGCCCTGCCGGGAAGGAATGTCTGAACAGTTACATGCATCTTCCGCTGCCTTTTGTAGTTCCGGTGGTTGCATTAAGCATCAGAACGAGCTTTCTTCATTTCGGCGTCCATGTCAGTGTCACGGGTATTTTGCTTTAGAATGGCCTCTGGTGAGTTGAGTGCTCCTCATCAGCCGCGAGGGATTTCATTTCCTAGAAAGTCGTTTGGAAAGACAACCGTTAGGGAATACAGCTTCCAGGCGAAGTGGTTCGAAGAATGGAAATGGCTGCACTGGGACAATAATAAAAGAGTGTACTGTATTTTGCTTCTATTGCATGAAAGCCCAGCAGACTGGAAAGCTCACGTTCTCTAAGAACGCTGAGGCATCGTTTGGTACTGGGTTTCAAAACTGGAAGGACGCTACCAGGTTGTTCCGTTCCCACGAATGTTCAAAGTGCCTTTGCGAAGCAGTGGAAAAGTTAGTGACATTGCCAGCAACCACGAACGATGTCGGCGCCTTGTTGAATAGCCAGCGAGAGGCCGATTTCAAGAAGAATTTGCATGCTGCTCCATTTGCTGCGCGCTGTTCGTTTTCTAGCTCAGCAAGGTTTGCCCTTTCGGGGCTCGTCGGCAGAGTCATCCCAAGAACCGGAGAGCAACTTAACCAACTAGCAAAGCTCCTGCCTGAATTCGACAAGGATTTAGTTGAATGGCTCAAGCGTCGAGCTGACCGCTACACGTCCGGCGACATGCTCGCGGAAATGGTGAAGACAATGTCCAACCAGGTTCTTAGGAAGAAGGCTAGCTGCATTCGTGGTCGATTCTTCACAATACTGGTGGATGAGACCACAGATGAAAGCACGAGAGAGCAATGCGTCATTGTACTTCGCTGGGTAGATGAGCAGCTACAAGCCCACGAAGAGTTTATCGGCGTAACATATATGAGCTGGCCTGTGCTAATGCCGATACTATTGTTGCTGTCATCAAAGATGTACTTGCACGCCTTGGCCTTAGCCTCAGCGAATGCAGAGGGCAGTGCTATGATGGTGCGGCTGTCATGCAAGGAGTGCGTAATGGAGTTGCGACCCAGATACTACATGAGCAACCAAAGGCAAAGGCCCTCTACAGACTACACGCACTGTTACGGGCATTCGCTCAATCTTGCCTGCCAGGATATGACCTGGCGTGTTAAGCCACTGACGGATTCCCTGGACACAGTGCTTGAGCTCTCCAAACTGCTGAAGTACTCTGCCAAGAGAAAGCCAGAGTTTCAGCACCTTAAGGACGACATTGCTCCTGCCCAAGAAGGATTCAGAAGTCCTTGCCCGACCCGTTGGACTGTGCGTGCGTCATCACTGAAAAGCGTTTTAACAAACTACAACGTTCTGCAGGAAGCACTAATATGCTTCGAAGAGATGACTCACCATGACAGAGAGATGTCAGCATGATGCTCGGGCAGTAAAGCACAGTTGAAGTCTTTCAACTTCTTGTTTGGTGCCTTCATTGGCCACGACCTGTTGTCCTATGCAGATTGTCTTAGCAAGAGCCTCCAGAGACAGGATTTATCTGCAGCCGAGGGCCGAAGTTCTGCTATGCTGACTGTCGACACTAATAAAAAGCTCCGCCGGACACCTGAGGAGTTTCAAGCCACATGGGCCGCTTTGCTTGCAAAGGTGGACGAGTGTGATGCTGCAGAACCTGTTCTACCACGTCGAAGAAAGAGGCCTGCTCGTTTAGAGGATGGAGAGGCTGCTGCCCATCACCCACCTTCACCAGAAGACATGTACCGGCCGATTTATTATGAAGCAGTTGACATTCTGGTCAGTGCAATTATAGGCTATTCATACTACGTTACAATACGCGTCACGTTTTGGAATAAGACGTACTGGCAGACGTCGTTTTCATGCAGGTGCATTCACACAGGCACGTACACGCTGCTCGTACAGCTGTGTGTACAGCTTCTTTTGGACACAAACTGCCAGGAACGACAGAACGAAACTTGGTACAGGGGTCTGGATACGTCGTCTACGTTTTCGTATCAGGGGTACGATTTTCCCGCCACGTTCCATGTTGTCATGGCTATCCGGACGAAAAAATCACGTACGCAACGCTTTGGGCGTAGTGTGAATGGCCCATTACACAGCGGTCCGAACAACCCGGGTTTGAGCCTTATCAGCACCTCCAGTCTTTGCTCCTGAAAGCCTCATCAGGGCAGGCATGTTCGTCTGAATTTGCCTTCGTACTGGACAAGTATGGGTCTGATGTTGATGGAGATCGACTCAAGTGCCAGTTTCACCTGTTGCGTCAGCAGATAATCAAGCTCCACGGTGAAGAGAAGCAGAACTTCACCTTGTGCGACATTATCACTGCTGTTGTTAATGTGCCAGATCGCTCCACGTTGCTTTATCAGGTAATCACAATTTGCCAACTAATATTAGTAGCAGCTGCCACGAATGCTACTTCGGAAAGATCATTCTCCGCTTTTCGCCGAGTGCAGACGTACCTACGTACCACGCTCACTCAGACCCGTTTGAATTCCCTCATGGTGCTGCATGTCCACAAGGACAGCTGTGATGCTTTAGATTTTCTTCAAGTCGCAAAGGGACTTTACACAGCTTTCCGAGCATCGCAGAAGCATCTTCGGTGTGTTCTAAGTCACTTGGGCCTCATCATTTAGGTTGTGATTTAGCGGCTGGACCAGTACACTAATCAACCTGTCCACAATGTGTAAGCAACAGACGATCACAGTATCAGCAGTACACTCATATCCATTGTCTAACACATGTACAGTCAGACCTCGCTTATCTGCTCCTCTTTTATCCGGATCCCTCGCCATCCGGAAGACAATAGCTGGTTACATATTCACAGCATACGTGATGCATCCAACATAAACGGTGTTCAGTTATCCGGCTCCCTCGCCTATCCGGATATTTTTGTGGAAAACGGATGTGTGCGGTTAAAGTGAGGGCCGACTGTATTGTCTTTTCCTTTATTCTTGTGCCTGTACATACATGTGCTTGTATAGAATTACAACTAGTATTCATTCTTTTGTTTGTGCAATTTTAAGTAAGATACAAACGGGTTTGGCTTATGATGATTTTATGTCAGCCTGCAACAATGCGTACAACCGTTATATGTTGGTCCCTTAAATAATGAACAATGTTATTAAAGAGATCTCCCAGTGGTGGAGAGTTAATAAAATGAGCTGTTTTCGGCTGTAGAATGAAGTCGAAGACACCACTGCAGCTGTACTTATGGTTGATAAATATGGTGGTAAAGACACACTTGGCAATATGGCGGTAAACACACGCCTGCCCACACACGCTCTCTAGACTGCAAAGTTCTGGCACAGAGCTCTCCTTCTCACCACCACCACCATCAGTTCGCGCCTGGCGCCTGGTCGATGCATGGCTGGCGGTATCCGGCATAGCAGGCTGGTACATCAAGTAGCGCATGGCACATAGATGATGACACAGCAACGACATAGCTCGATTGCGACGTACGTTTCGTCCCCGCTGGATTTTACCACCATATTTATCAATCATAAGTACAGCTGCAGTGGTGTCTTCGACTTCATTCTCCCGAGTCAAGCTCCATATGAAGACATCCAAGAAGAAGATTGCCTGATGAGTCCAGCGGGGACGAAACGTACGTCGCAATCGAGCTATGTCGTTGCTGTGTCATCATCTATGTGCCATGCGCTACTTGATGTACCAGCCTGCTATGCCGGATACCGCCAGCCATGCATCGACCAGGCGCCAGGCGCGAACTGATGGTGGTGGTGGTGAGAAGGAGAGCTCTGTGCCAGAACTTTGCAGCCTAGAGAGCGTGTGTGGGCAGGCGTGTGTTTACCGCCATATTGCCAGGTGTGTCTTTACCACCATATTTATCAACCATGTTTTCGGCTGTAATTTTCAAAAATTGGTCCTTTAAACAAGAGAGCTTGGAAGCTCAAGGCCCTACGCTATGCTTTTTTGCCTAGCTCATCATGCATGTTATGAGAACTGATGGACATGTTTTTTTCCATTGGTTGGCTATAGTGTTTTACGTCGACTATGACGGCTACAATGCCCAACCATACTACAACGAACTGATCGGCTACATCATTGTATTGCAAAAAGTTTCCATCTGTTCGAACAACATGCATGATGAGCTAGGCAAAAAAAACATAGCGTAGGGCCCTGAGCGAAAGAAATAAACGTTCTCTTTGCATTCGAGGGTAATACGACACCGTCTACCACCTTGATGACCAAGGCAAAAAAAGCATAGGGGTGTTATAAATTTTTCCTATTTTTTCAAGACATAACCTAGGATTCGAACCCGCACTATTGCCCTGCATGCATTCCCCGATACACTTCGCATACACATATTCATTCTTCCAAGTTGCTTCACGTTATGATCTTGCATTTGAAAGCCCTATTTGAATATTGTGGCCAGCTGTCTTTGATGGTACGGTACGGTACGGGTACGGGATAGCGCCAGGCATGCCCACGGCACAAACAAACACCAAATTAAAGCTGTGTGGACCCTGGCTAGCGCCAGACGTTACTGAAGTAACGTCTTTTGCATAGCTACGGGAATAATGAACAATGTTATTGGAAAGATCTCCCAGTGGTGGAGAATTATTAAAATGAGCTATTTTTGGCTGTGATTTTCAAAAAAATTCCCAGGGGTGCCCCGGACCCCCTTCGGGGCCTGACCGTACCACTCTGAAATCCTTTCCGACGCCCCGAGTGTTATGTTAGTTCGAAGTGTGGTTGGTGTGGGCAGGAGGCTGTGTACAGAGTGTATTGGTTGTTGTAGGCAAGGGGATGTAGAGGTAGTGACAGGGCTAGCCGTGTAATGTTAGCGCAGAGTATGCTTGCCCTGCCACTGCCTCTCTAGCCCCCTGCCTACAACAACCACACACTCCCTGAAACCTATAGAGCCCCCACATTCACACACAGCTTTCCACACAGCGCTTTAAAAATCAACACCCATGCATTACTTTAGCACCACAAATCTACCAATATCTCTCCTGGCATAAATACCGGCATGGCCAATAGCATCCTCATGCTGCCTGGTGATTGCGTAAGCATGAAACTCAAAGCGATAAATTAGCCTTGCTTGCCCTTGTTCTGTGGAAGTTGATTTTACATGTTGCGAATTTGTATTACGACTATGATTTACGCATGTCGTTGTATTTGGTTCTTGTCATGTGGAGTCCAGTGTCTGATGTCATATATGGTCTAAGTGTACGCGCGAGTATGGTGTGATGTGTGACGTTTATGGTATGTGGTACATGCAAGAGTACGCGTTGTCAGAGAGTGAGGATGTGCGTCCGTCTGTGTGAGAGTGACTGTCAAGTGAATGCTGTACATGCGCAGTGCTGGTTTGGTCTGGGAATGAGAGTCATGTGTGATTCGTCCGTGGTCTGGTTGTCTTGGCCTTGGTCATGTGTTCTGTACGTATTAGTCCCTGATTGGTCATTTCGATGTGTTCACCCTTTTCTCTGTTTTATAACTGTTGGTTGTTTATTATTTCTTTGTCTTTTCTCCCCCGTTCTCCCGCCCATCAGTTAGTTATTTATTCCAAGAGATCTTATTCAAGAAACTGTGTCGTCCTCTTGCCTGCGTGGACGAGTCGGAGAGTGGTTGTGTGGCGGGGAGGGGGGGGGGGGGGAATTCCACAATATTGGCGCCCGACGTGGTGATTGGCTCGAACCCACGATTCTCCTTCACCACCAGTAGTTTGTGCTCGCCGTTCCCTTTTGTTTTCGTTTTGTCTATTCTTTTTGGGCCATGCCCTTGCGCGTTTTTCTTTTCTCGTTTTGGAGACAAGATATTATGGATTGGAGGGTTGTTCGTCCCGCAGCCGTCAACCAGGCTTCTCATCGGCTTCTCATTGGCGATGATGTGGGTGGTCGTTCGTCAGGCGGACGCATTCCGGGTGAGTCGCTCCCGGAACGGGATGTCGTTGTTGTCGTACTAGTCTAATTGTTGCATGTGAAAGCCTTCGGAGATGATGTGTCCAGCATAATGTATTACTTCCCAGAAGGGCTCAGGTCCAGAGTGTTTCCACGTCGTTCTGTTTATAATATTTTCACAATCTCGGTAGTCGGTCTTTTACCTTGTGTGGGCGATTCTGTTTGTGTCGAGCGTCGTAGTACTCCATCCGCCATGGGTTATGCTTTCAGTGAACGTGGTTTTTTCGAGTCAGTGAGCGTATATTTGCGGTGTTTTGTACTGGCCAGTTTTCTTGGTTACGAGGATACACTTGGTTCATAGCTGGGGTAGTCTTTCAGTGAGCGTATTTTTTTCGTTTTGTGTCGACTTGCGGGTCTCCCCACTTTGCCGTGGTGGGCGCCCGATCATGGTGAGCCACGGCCTACCCGGTGAGCTGGGGGGATCCCTGCGTTCTCATGGTTGGCCTTGCGGGTATTTTTTAGCTGGCGGTACCGACTTGTGCG